CCTGACTACTGCGGGGCAAGCCCTTTTTATATGCTCAAGTCTTACGTCACCGGACGTCTGGCGCCCTGGCGTCGAGTGGACGGTTTACCTTATTTGGCTGCGGGTAAGTCCTGTTTACGTCATTTTATTGGCGCCGCGTTGACGCGACGGTTGACCTCATGGCTGCGGGATAAGCCCTTTTGGTTTCTACGTTCCCTCTAGATGTACTTCTTTATTTAATTGAACACTCAAAAACGATAGATACAAAGTTGAATTGATTAAAGGAGGATTGGGTACCATGATTAAAAGTCCATATTGGAGTAGGGGGTGTAAGAAGAGGTGGTGAGTATTTAAACAGGTAATTATGATTCTTAAATTACCACACATATATATATGGTAGGGGAGAGGAGGGGTGTTATATGCAGTCATGAGGCCACAGTGGTTTCAGGCGTCAATGGATAACCCAAAGGACGAAGCAGGTTAGATGTCATCTAGAAAAGAGGCCAGCCCCGAAGACGCGGTCAAGGTCCAGGAGGGTGTGATCTACATAGGAGGAAGAAATGATCTGTCATTATCCGGGCGTTTGTCGGTGGGAGGGGAGCGGAAGTAAAACAAACTAACGACTTCTGAAATAAAAGCCTTGTCTTGTCTTGGACGAGGCTGACTCTCAATAAAACTTCATTATCTTATTTGTAATTACATGATGGCCAAGCTGGCGCGTTAAATTGAATCTACCTTTTGGAGCTGCTTTGTTATGATATTTATAAATATGGTACATATGAAATTTATTGTATGCTGAAATATATTATTACATATTCGAAAAAATAATAATAATAATTTGGCCAACCCATTTTCTTGATAAATAAAAAAAGGCAATCGCGAACGCGTTTCGGGCTGTTGGCTTCCCTCAGCGTGGTGGAGGCTGTAACTCTACGACCAAAAATGTGACTCGGGAACAGCAAACAACACAACGGCGCAGCCCAAAAGCACCAGAACCAACGGAACCACCAGCGCAACTCCGCGAAGGCGAACACCTGGAAAGTGAACACCGCAAGTGCAGGAGATCAAATCCACGCGAGTACATCGCGGACGCCAGGGCCCGGCAGGTGTCCTAAACCCAGAAACAGTGCGTGTATATTGAGCACTTCCGAGACTTCATGCTTCCAAATACGGCCGTATCAATCAGGCGGTGAATAAAGCAGTCGAAGGGACCAAGAACAACATCCAGCTCACCAGGATGAACGGCCACGATCTGGTAGGCCTGATCACCAAGACCCTTGCAGAACACCTCATCGACAGGAGCCTTGAAATCGAGGGCACGACCCTCAGGACCTTCCCCTTCCGCAAAAGGTCGGAGAGTATCCTTATTGGTAACCCCCCCTTCTTCGTGGAAAACCTCGTCATCATCGACGCCCTGCGACCTTATGGGCGAGTCATGTTTATCGCTCACATGCAACTCAAACCGGAGGAATACAACTATACAGACGGCCGCCGTGAGGCATACATCCTCCTCAACGACGACATCAAACTGGAGAGGCTACCACACGGCGTTACTAGCATTTGTATTAAATGCTCTAAATGTAGCAAGCAGGGTCACCGCAGGGCCAACTGCCCCATGCTTGCCAGGCAGGCCATCAGCACCAAGAAGTATCATCCGCCTCCCCCACCGATGTCAAGTCACCCGGCACGCCTCAGCAGCCCAGTGAGCCAGAACCTGCGCCAGTTGCACCAACATCCGCTATTAAATCTGAGGAGGCGCCAGGTAGCGGTCCTGTGGCTCACACCTCACTCAACGGCGCCTCAGCCTGCTGTACCTGTGCCTCCTACTCAACCTGAGGAAGAAACAAATCCAGCCATTGTAACCTCGCCTCCTCCTCTACATGCTCCGGAGACCTACGAGCTCTAAACCGCTCCTACAACCATCGATATGATGGAGGTGGAGACTAGTGGAGGGGGAAACACCGGATCGACCCCATCATCCAAGAAGGGCAGGATCAGGGGCCAACTCGATGCCGTCCTCGAGAAAGCCTCCAGCTCCCTGTTTGCCGAGCCTAACAAACTTTGCTTCCAAAGGAAAGAGGTCCTACGTGCCTGCCTATCCACCGGTTCCTGGAGAGATGGGTGTCCACCATCGATGTCCCGGTCAGGATTGACTGGTCCTCTGGCTCCTCTGGCGCCTTCTCGGGACACAATTGAGATGTCACCCTGCCGCACCCGGATTATCCAGCATCTGCCGGTCCGTCCTGCCCAGCCTGCGGGTCCGCCAACGGCTCTTTAGGCCACCGATTATGGGGATGCCAGAACATCAGGCCCCTCGTCCGGGAGGCCTTCAACATCATCGAGGGACCCCCTGATCTAGAGGCCTGGATTTTCGGATCCAGCCTTGAAGACGACGAGATAGCCATACTTGCATCAGACAAGGTGCGAATCTACCGGTACTTCGTACATGTTGGCCTGGGTTTTGGCTTCAAAGACCCCGTAATCGCCTGGAAGAGAACTCTCGCGCGGTGGGAAATACTCCATAGGTGAAAATATATATTGTAAATAGTTCGCCTTTTTATCATTATTTTAGCGACTTCGTTTTGATGCTGTTAATGTTGACTAAAGGGCCAATAAATATATTTTAAATGTCGCTATTTCTCTTTGAAAATAAATTTCGATTTTTAAAAGAAACATTCGCGGTATAATTTTAAATATATTTTAATTGTCAAATCACACACAAATACACAATTAACGGCCTCCCACTTCCCTGCCACCATCCACGCGGCGTATCTTCATTTTTCTGGTCCCGAAGACTTGCGGCGGTCACGGCTTCAGCGGATATAGGTCCATTTCGCTGCCCTCGGCCGGCTACCGTGTCCTGGCGGGTATTCTCCTTCGTCGCCTCAGACACCATCTACCAGCGTTGGTGCTGGAGTGCCAGTCCTACCCTGTCCCCGGGAGGGCACCATCCTGCAATATCGCCTGGGTTACCGATACTGTTGAGGAGGCGACAGCTGTGGCCTGCCGCTGGCCGTCGTCTGCGTAGAGCTTGAGTCCACCTTCGACTCCCTGGACCGGGGCTTCCTGTGGACGTTTCTGAAATCCCTGCGCCTTCCACCGGCCTTTATGAAATGGATTTGGCTCCTGTACGCTAAGGCGGATGCGACGATCAGGACCGGAGACTTCCACACCACCGCCTTCCACCTACTAAACGGCCTTAGGCAGGACTGCGCCGTCAGTGCCCCACTCTTCAGCATCGCGACAGGGCCGCTCCTTTGTCGCCTCGAGTCCTCCCTCGGCGTGGGCAATGGCATCGCTTACGCCGACGACATCACCCTCCTGATTCGCCGCGACGAGCAGTTTGAGCGGGTGGAGGCCGTTCTTCGGGACTTCCGTCGGGCTTCGGGCATAGCTGTGAATTTCAGGAAGAGTGCCGGCCTTTGGTGCGGTGCGTGGCGCGCTCGCGGTGACTATCCCCTAGGTGTCTCCTGGTCGACATCTTCCAACAAAGTCCTGGGGACGGACATTGCCCCCTTCAGATCTGTCGCCCGCCAGGAACAGCATCTTCTGACCCTGCTGGATTCTGCCTGCAGGAAGTGGACGCCCTTCAGGGGCGGCCTCTCTCTTGTCGGCCGAGCCAAAGCCGCCAATACCCTGGTGCTCTCATCCACCCAGTACCACCTTCATGGGTACCTGCCCGGAGAGGCTACCATCACCAAGCTATAGGCCCTCTTGCGAAGGTTTATCTGGGGCCCTGGCCGCACGGCTTGGCTTCCCGCAGACATCGTACCGAGGCCTGTTACCCTCGGGGGCCTCGGGCTTCTGGACATCGGCGCCCAACTCCATCTGGCCTGCCGCAAGGGCGTTCAGGCAGCGCTCCGTGGGGGGAAGAATGGCTTCTCCTGGCTGGTTTTGGGTGGCGTCTGGCTCAGTCCCCCTCCTGACGGTACTCCGCTCTGGCCCTGCCGCCTACGGCTACTGAGGCTCTGGGAGGAGGCCTCCAAGATCCTTGGCCTCGACCACCGAGCTGCTCCCCCATCCCAGCTATTGGAGCTCCCCATCATTGGTGGCTGCCGGTTCCTTCGCCCTCGCAACCTCCTGGCCCCTGCGCGCTGGTCCGGGGTCCGTGTCGCGGAACTGAGGGATGCCCCCGACATCCGCCCTACTCGCTCCTCTCTCGCGGACGCCGCTGCCCTTGTTGCCTTCTGCCGGAGGACGTTGGAGGAGAACCTCCGGGAGAGCACCAGGGCTGCCTGCCTGGCTGAGGCTGTGGTCCTGCGCGGGACGACCACACCCTTCTCGAGGCTCACCACCCGCTCGGTCCGTCGCGCCTCGCGGCACAGCCGATTACCAGGCTTCTCTCCAGATGGACATCTGTGGTTGACGCGCCGGCCAGGCTCGACTAGACTTCACTGCGGCGCTGCGCCTTCTCGGTCCACGACGCCGACATTGCGCTTAGGTTGGCCCTCTATGCCCTGCCCCACCCGGACCATCCGGCTTCGACCAGTTCATCATGCCAGGCCTGCGGTTCCGTGGATCGCTCCCTTGACCATCGCTACTGGAGCTGCAGGCGTATCAGGCCCATAATCATCGAATCCTTCAGTGTCATCGGGCGACCCCCTGACCTGCGGGCCTGGATCTTCGGGTCTGGCCTCAAAGATGACGACTTGGCCATTCTGGCGTCTGCCAAATCCATCATCTACCCGTACTTCGTAGAGGTTGGCCTGACCGGAGGAGCTCATCGCCTGGTAAAGAAGGCTCACCCGCCGGGGCACATCCCCCGCATGATCATCTGTCTTTTTATTTTATTCATTATTTCCATTTTTAATGTAAATTATTGCCTAAAAGTCTATAAAATTTGTTTCAATTGTAAAAAAAAAATTGTCACAAACACACAATTCGTGCATGCTTCACTGCAAAATTTAATAAAAATGCATTTTTTCAATCTACTTATATAATTGCCTTATTCTGTCTGTGTGAAGTTCACTGTGTGAAGTTCACGTATAGATTTTGGTCAGAATGGATAAAATAAAAAAAAGTGTCAAGGGATGGGAATCCAACCCACGACCTTCCGCTTACCGGGCAGATGCCATGACCACTAGGCTACCCTGGACATATTTTTCCGTTCATAAAGTTAATATATGATGCTAATATATATAATAATTGTATAAACGAATGCAAGACAAAATCACCGCGAATGTTTCTTTTTTTTTAAGGCAATTTCTTTTTAAGGCAATTATCGTTTTGCACAATTACTTAATCTTTTAAAATAAATAACAATACTTAAATGAAAATATGTTTCTTTTAATAAAATAAAATAAACTTTTAAATCGGTAACCTTTTTTTATGAGAACCTTTAAATATATATAAGTACCTTATAATTATAACGAATAGTATTTTAATTAAAACATTTTAAAAACACACAGTTTGGAACGGGACGTTTCACAAGAGTGACATCCATGGCGCCAATTTATAATTGTAACGAATAGTATTTGAATTAAAACGTTTTTAAAATATATACGCACTCGGGTAAAACCCGGGCGTTGCCCGGGCCATTCGTCTAGTGTGTTTTATAAGGGAGATTTTCGCCCATGTACATATATAATATCCTCTCTTCAAATTACAATATAAAAGGTCACGTTCATTTTCAATTCATTTTTGAAACACCTTTTATTACTATAGCCATGCATTCAATAATAAATTTGATGTTGCGCTGTTAATGGCTTTGGGAAGGAGGTAGATTCCAGGAAAGAATGGTAGATGATTAGTAGATGCCATCAAAGAGGTTAAGATTATCGAAAGCATTCTCTTGAGCATGATAGTAGACGTGATTGGACATTTGTTCTTGGCCTGCAATCCCACCGTCTCCAATATCCAGTCCCGGAGTGTTCTTCTGATAACATTTGACCACCCTCAGAAGTTCATCCACGCTGCGTCCCACCTGGGTATCATTGATGGAAATTTGCCGAACGATACTTTCACCATCAATGATGAAGTGGCCCCGGTAACTTACACCGTTCTCCCGGTCAAATATTCCAAACGACTTCGCAATCGAAAGATTCTTGTCAGAAAGCATCGGTATGCCTATCTTCCCCAGTCCACCTTCAATCTTCGGAAGGCCAATCCAAGCTAGGTGGCTGAAGCGACTATCAGTGGAACAAGCTACAATTTCACAGTTGATGTCACGAAACTCTTCAATCCTTGCGTTCAAAGCGGCGATTTCAGAAGGACAAACAAAACTGAAGTCCGAAGGATAGAAGAACAGAACTAGATACTTGTTCTTGAAGTCAGCTAAAGACATTTCCTTGAAGCAACCGTTCACGATGGCAACACCTTTAAAGTTAGGTGCTCGCCTGCCGATAACAAGAAGTGGTGCCATTTTCAAATCCAATTTTGTCAATTCAACCAATTCTCAATTTCATCTTTTATAAACCTAAATAAGAAACAATGATTCAAATAAATTGAGCGCCTAATGGGGCTATAATAATTGTATGCTCAGACCCATTATTTTACTAAGAAAACATTTTAAAAGTTTTCTAATAGCAGAATACTTGGAAATATGTGACACGAAATTATATCAACAAAACTTGTCAGATAAACATCTCGAGAATATGCGTTAAGGAATATAACCTTTTAAATTTTTATAATTAGTTGATAAAAAAGGGGCTAATAATATTTTATTGAAATTTAATAAAAAGCAGAAAATATAAATATTTTAGGTACCGTCGTTGAACAATTAGATTTATATGAGTAAATATAAAAGCGGCGTATATTGAGGGAAAAGGCAAAATGTTTAATTAAACATAACAACTTGATAAGTAGTTGTTTTTTTAATATTAAATCACGAATTAATATTACTCTGATCTTGACTAGATGGATATCAAAATTCGCGAGAAGAGGCCTGGCTTGAAGAGAAAAATATCATCTTTTACCAGGACAACGCACCAGCTGACAAAGGTGTGTTGGCAATGTTAAAATAGCGGGATTTGAGGTATAGATTTTCTCTTACACCCCCCTATTCATCTGATTTGGCACCTTCAAGCTTCCATCTCTTCCTACATCTCAAGAAATGTGTTTCTGAAAAGCGCTTTGCGTTCAATGAAGTTGACAGGGTGGTAGATGAATATTTTAACAGCCTTTTTTTTTTCATTTCTTGGAAGGAAAACTTCTTCTCTTCTTCTTTCTTATTTCCACTCAATCATATTAGGGCATCAAGCTTGTAAAGTTTGTAATTAGTAAGTCATTATCTAAATAAAAATAAATAGCGTAAAATGTCTTTTCAATTTTAATATACCCAAAATAAACCCATTAAATTTCTCTCAAATAAAGAATGGAGATCAAGTCCTTCGCAAATTCTGTATCAGTAAAGATGCTAATTTTCTCTTAAGTTACAGATTTTGCAAAATAATGTCTTATTAGTCTTCTTCTTTCTTATCTTCATCATGACTGGGTGATGTAGAATGCATCTGCCTTTGTCATTAAGACGGGGGCACTACTCAGTGGCAGACCGACTTAGCTCTAAAAGAAATGGCCGCCTCTGACATGAGGAACAGACGCCATGTGCAGCCGCTCCTAACATGGAGTACAAACGCTGCTCATCCTGTATCCCTGGATTAGGAGCCCTTACAGGGTACTATCAGCCAGGCCAGCTGAGCCCAGGTTTTTTAGTGAGCTTGTTACTGCTTCCCCTCCTCCTTTTTCATCCGGGCTTGGGACCGGCAAAGGGGAAGTTGGAAGAAAATTTATATCGGAGAAACGATGGACCAAATGTGTTGATGTAAAGGTAGTTAATGTAGAAATATAAAAAGCTTTTAAAATAAAAAAACAGAGTCATTCATTGTCAGGTCGAGAACTTTCATATTACCCTCGTACCTACGGCATCTAGATCTAAACTCAGCGACACAACTGGCTAATACTTGAAATATCATGGTAATTAAAAATATATTAGATATAATTTGATTATAGATTTAAAAGGCAAGATAATAAGACCGAATCTGAATAAATAAATAGTGTGGAGGGTTGGATAAAAGCGTTGTTATCGAAACGTCACAAACAATTTATTTATTTGGATTTAGTCTTATGTATAATATTGTAATGTTAATTGAACCTAATATACATAACACAAAAGTTCAATCTTTAAATATTCAGGATATAATAAATAAAGGTGTTGTATAGGATCATAATATGATATGATATGCAGCCTGAAATATCACAGCGCGGGGAGTATTATCAGTTAATTGAAAATGTTCAACCAAAGTGTCAACTAATCTGTTGGATATTAATAAACAGAAAAAGCCGAATCCTCTTCTAAGCTTCTAATTCCACCCCTCTATGCTGACAAGCCAAAATGTTCATGAGTCTGGCTATGGACCTCTTGATCACCCATCATACTGCTCGACCAATCGCATGCCGACTACTACCATTTCAAGCACCTCAATCATTTTCTACATTGAAAATTATTTTAAAAGCCTTCCTAAATTAAATCGCCTCGGGAAAATAATTTTATTTAACCTAAATAAACAAATTTAAATCTCATTCGCAAAACTAGACATGTATAATCTAATGATTTTTATTTTAATTAACTAGACGGGTGACCCGGGCTTCGCCCCGGGATTGACCCGTGTGCATATCTACCCGAGTGATATATATTTAGATAAGAATTTTTAAATAATTGTTTGTTATTAGCATTATCTATTTGTTTGCATCAGCATAATTTAATCTAATCTTTGATAGAGGGCGCTGTTCGTGAGCTAAGTAGAATAATTTGAATATATAGTTTTAATAATTGATTTATATATATTTTTAAATAGCCTATCGTCTTCCCCGTATTTTTTACCTATGTATGGAAATTTTGGTTTGAATTAGTGAACTACTGCGAATTTGTATACCGGACATACAAACAAACAAAGGTACAAACAAACAAACATACAAACATTCATTTTTATATATATAGATAGATATCATTTTGTTCGAAGTGTAAAATCTGTCATATTTTTGGACAACCCAATAGTTACTAATATTTTTAATATTTATTATTTTATATAATATATATGAAATATATATAATAAAATAATAATTATTTATCATAATTACTATGATAGCATATATATGGGAAAAGAGGGTAAATTAGGTTTTGAATATTTTCTTTTTCAAGATAGGTGGACTTATGACTACTTTTTTAAATCAATAGTAATATTTATTTACTTGGTATCTTGGAAATATATCCGTGTTCAAATAAGTAAATTTGACACCTCTATTTATTCAATGAATGATCTTAATTATAACATTCTCACAGGTCACACACACAACAAAAAAAATACATATTTATTTTTTTCTGTAAAAACAAACACACACACACACAATGAGAAAGAGAACATGTTTCCAAAAAGGTATATAATTGATAGTGTTGTGTGTACAAACAAGTTTTATTGTCTGTTAAAAATTGAAAACATTTTAAGCCTTATTAAGAAGACGATTTTGTCAAAGAGTATCTAAGTGCTGTAGTTGAAGCACTGTGTCCTGTGAAAAACAATGAAAACCTGTCTTTCTAGTTAGACTATAACAACATATCAATGAAATAGTCAGTAACATAAAAACTAACCTTAATGAGTGTGTTTGATATTTGAAGTACTTTCAACCACTCTAAATGAGAGAACAGATACTGCCCCTATACACGTCTCAATTGGTTAATTTTGTTCGTGGAGTTCTCGCTAAATTTAATGGTATAGAGGAATTGCTTGTTATACAACTTATAAGAGTTACTATAAAAAGAGAAGACATTTTCACGAAGTGAGCACTGTTTTTAATCGTTTTTAATAAATGGTGATCTATGAAATATAATTATATTTACAAAGCATATCTGGATCTGTGAAAGAAAAGAAAACATGATTTTGAAAAGTTATTTCTTTAAATAAATTGATAAATCGCCCTAAATAATTTGAAATTTTTTTTTTTTCACAAATCGCCCCCTCCCCACGGTACATAATTTTTATGTAATTGCTTTTAAGCAGTCTGATAGCTTAGATGAGAGAAAGTTTGTTGGATCTCACTACTAATCGTATCCCAATTTTTTGGGATCAAATTGATTATTTTCAGTAGCATCAAATTAGAACTT